GCAGAGAGTATAGAACAGGCTATCGTAGAACATCGTGTTGCCTCATTTTATTAGTCAAAGATTTAAACAAACAAACAAAATAAAAAACCAACCAAACTGACGGCCATCAAGTAGAATCTGACTCATAGCAACCCTATATGATAGGGTAGAACTTCCTCTGTGGGTTTCAGACGGAAACTGTTTACAGGAAGAGAAAACGTCATCTTTCTCCCATGGAGCAGCCTGTGGTTTCAAACTGATGATGCTTGAGCAAAGAGGTTGCTGTTAGGTGCTGCGGAATTGGTCCCACCTCGATAGCGACCCTGGGCACAGCAGAGTGAGACACTCCTGGGTCCCGCATCATCTTCACAATTGTTCTTATGTTTGACCCCATTGTTGCAGCCACTGTGTCAAATCAATCTTATTGAGAGCTTTCCTTTTTTCTGCCACCCCTCTATTTTACCAAACGTGATGTACTGCTCCAGGGACTGGTCTCTCCTGACAACATGTCCAAAGTACAGTGGGACAAAGTCTCGCTGTCCTTACCTTTAAGGAACATTCTGGCTGTTCTTCTTCCAAGACTGATTTTGTTTGTTCTTTTGGCAGTTCTTCACCAGCACCATAATTCAAATGCACCTATTCTTTTTCCATCTCCCTTTTTCAATGTCTAAAGTAGTTACATAATCTGTCAATTTGCAAAGGAGTAGAGTCCAGCCTATCAACAAGGTCATAGCCAATGAGCCTCTGTGTGGGCATGGCCTTCTCCTGAGGATTGCAGGAACTCCTGTCTTTCTTCCTTGAGATGGGACACACATTCAGCCTGCAAGACATTCCTGTTGACAAGCTACATGGAACTACGCTGATGGAGCCAGAGCCCTGGAGCTGGAGGAGTCACATGGAGACCCACGCCAGCACTGAGATGAGATGCTTCCACTGCCACTGGAGCCAAAAGATTTCCCACCCACTGGCCTGTGATCTTCCTGCATTCAGCATCATTGCGTGTGTTATGTGAGTCTGAAGAGGAATTTACAGATTGGTATCAGACATATGGGTCAATATCAGACTTACGGATTTGATCCGGACTGGGGTGGGATGTTTTCTTAACATACAATTACTCTCTATATAAAGCTCTTTCTCACACACATATGAGTGTCTCTGGATTTGTTTCTCTAGTCAACCCAGATTGACACACTCTTTGATATAAAAGTTCTCTATTACACACATATGAGTGTCTCTGTTTTTTTTCCCCTCTAGTTAACCTGGAATAACACAATGTCCAACTTTCATATGCATACGGGGTGACTGAAAATACCATGACTGGAGTCAGGCTCACATTAGTCCTCACAGTGTCATCCTTGATTTTAAACACTTTAAGGAGACCTTGTACAGCAGACTTACCAATCCAGTGTATCACACACAGTCACAAAGAAAGCTCAGATACAAAGTAGGCAAAACGTAATTAACAATTCTTCATTTCTTTTTCTTTTTTCAATATAAACTTATTGTTCTGTTGGGTTTTTCCCAATAAAATCTTTTGTATCCTCATCCAAGTTGCAGCTCATAATTAGTATTTTAAATTTTTGAACATTTTCAATCTATTTTTCTCTATAAAACCATAATATTTTTAAACTTTTTATTTTGAGCTAATTTTAGATTTACAGGTAAGTTGCAACAATCTTTCAGTTTCTAAATATCTCTCATCCAACTTCCCCAATAGTAACATCTTACAAGAGCATAGTTCACTAGTCAGAAAAAGGAAATTAAAACAGAATGAAGATAATAACAATGGTAACATATTCTAAAAATTACAACCAATGGCAAGGAACAAGTTGCATAAAATTATCTAGAAATTTAATTTGTTGCGTAAACTTTTACTTGAAACACAATACTTTTTGTTTTTTTAAGGAAATAGCTTTGGTACAATTCTATTAACTAAAGACCTATTTGACTTTGTGCACTAAACCCTATTTACTACTCTAGGACCTGCCCAGTTGTATTTAGTTGTGCCTCCTTGATCTCCTGCAGGCTCTCCCAGTCGTTCATTATCTTTTATGACCTTAATATCTTTTAATGATATAGATCATGGATTCTGTTGAGTGTGCTTCATTTGAGTTTGTCTGATGTTTTCTCATGATTGAACATGATTGCACATTTTCTTAGCAAAAATATCACAAATATGATTCTCTTGGTGCATTGCATCACAGATTCATGATGCAGGTATGTGATTACTGTTGTGGTTGACCTTGATGTGAAGTTGATCATTGCCAGCTTTCCCTTTGTAAAATGTCCGTCTTCCCTATTGCACTTAATTACTTGGGAAGATACTTCACACTATATAATATCTGTCACTAAATTTTTACCCGCCAATTTTAACAGTCATCAATAGATTTTATCTGTAACAACTATAGCAAATAAATATGTAAGGAAGAAAGGTCTGGCATATATGAGAAGTGTGAGTGTCTCAAAGGGAATTAAACTATGTAGAGTGGCTACTAATGGAAAGGCATGGAATTGGCAGTGTACAAAAAGAGCTCTAATTTTCTATATATTTCTGAATCATTTTAATACTTTTGGAACAAGTATATATTGTACATCTTATGTTTAAAACGATGTTGTTATTTTTTTAAATAACTCATTTTATTGGGGGCTCTTACAGTTCACATAACAATCCATACATCAGTTTTACCAAGCACATTTGTACATCTGTTGCCATCATCATTTCCAAAACATTTCTTTCTACTTGAGCCCTTGGTGTCAGCTATTCTTTTTTCCCCTCCCTCCCTTACACTCCCCTCATAAGCCCTTGCTAATTTATAATTTTTGTTTATTTTCATATTTTACATCGTCTGCTGTCTCCATTCACCCATGTTTCTGTTACTTGTACCCCTGGGAGGGGGGGGGGGTATATGTTGATCCTTGAGATCAGTTTCCCCTTTCTCCCCCATCTTTCCCCACCTTCCCCCTTCCCTCACGGTGTTGTTACTCTCATTATTGGTCCTGAGGGGTTTGTTTGTCCTAGATTCTGTCTGTTGAGAACTCTTATCTGTACCAGTACATGCTCCAGTCTAGCTGGATTTGTAAAGTAGAACTGGGGTCATGATAGTATGGGTGAGGAAGCATTAAAAAACTAGAGGAATGTTGTGTGTTTCATCAGTGCTATATGCCACCCTGGTGGGCTTATCCCTTCCTTGTAATCCTTCTGTGAGGGAATGTCCAATTGTATACAGATGGGCTTTGTGTCCCCACTCTGCACCCCCTCGTTCACATTGATATGGCTATTTGTTTTGGGTCTTCTGATGCCTGATACCTGATGAAAATGATACATTTGTAAAAGAACTCTTAGCCTACCGAACTCAGAAAACAAACCCATTCCCACTTAGTCTATTCCAAGTCATAGTGATCCTGTAAGACAGAGTAGATCTATCCCATAGGGTTTCTGAGGCTATAAATCTTTGTGGAAACAGAGAGCCTCATTTTTCTCCCCATGAGTGGCTAGCGGGTTTGAATCACTGACCTCTGGGTTGGCAGGCCAACGTGAAATCTACTTCCCCACCAGTGCACCTACAGACCATTGATAGACATACCTTAATGTAGCAAGGGGCAGTGAAAGAGAGAAGGCCCTCAACAAGATGGATTGACACAGTGGCTACCACAATGGCTCAAGCATAGGAACAATGGTGAGGTGGCACAGGACCGGGCAGGGTTTCCTTCTGTTGTGCATGGGGTTGCTATGGGTCAGAAATGACTCAATGGCACCTAACAGCAATATTGTGGCAAACGTTGTCAAGAAGTTCCTAACACAGTGTTCTCTTTGAAACTCGCATTCAATGGAGGAAAGAAAATGTTGGATCAGCATTTTCCAAATTATGTTTTCTGTAATTATCTTTAAACTAAATTTTAATATCTCCCCAGAGTAAGGAAATAAATATATATTTCCAACAATGTTGAAAGTAAAGGTATTTTAAAAGAAATCAAATTTCTTTTAAATTTAGAGAAATTAAATTTAAAGAAATTAAAATAAATATAGAAAAAGAAAACAGATGGGAAAAATCAGATTTGGTATACTTTTAAAAAATATAAATCTTCACTAAAAGACAATCTAAAAATATTGATTTAAAAGCTTATTATCTGAAAACATTAGAACATCATTAACACTATTAAAATATTTAAGCATTTCATTCTTTACTGAATCAAGTCTGCATTAGTCCTAAAATAAAATGAGAGGACATCTGGAAGATAAAAAGGTTGAAAGAAAAAAATTAAACAGCAAATGGTATGTTTGGGGTCACTGGGGGATTTCAACAAATGGGTATAAAACCACTTGAAAATAAAGAGTCTGTGTAATCACAATGAACTTGAAGATGATACTATGGATTAGAGAGTGCTCCCCTCAAATATTGCAAATCTCAAATATTGTAAACCCTAACTCTATGCTGTGTGGGAAGAAAAATGGGGATTTCTATCCCCATAAAGACTTAGCGTCTCAGAAGCACAAAGGGGCAGTCTGTCCTGTCTAAACGGGTCACTGAGTCAGAAGGACTCAACTGCAGTGAGAGGGAGAACTCTACGCTTGGCAGGATAATCCCATTTGAGACTGGGTTGTCTTTGTCATGTAAATAAGGCACCCTTAAGTAGGGTGTCATTAGCTTGAGAAATCAGAGATGAAATGCAAGGTCGGAGCAGAGATGGAGGAAGATGCTATGCCACATGGAAATCAACCAGGGGCAGCAGTTCAGTGGAACAAGGCCTTCCTCCAGAGCGGACAGAGCCAAACAGCCTCTCCCTAGAGCCAGAATGCAGTCTTCTATCCTTTAAATTGTGTGACATAAATGTGCTTGTGAAATCCTTCTATTTGTGTGGTTTGTTATAGCAGTACTAGATAACTAAGAGATAGGCTTAGCATTTATAGATCTCCTGGGAAGCTTGGTGATACAGGAAGAAACATAAAACCAAAGCAAAAGGAGGTTATTAAAATATTATTTCCTGTTGTATTGTAGAACTCAGGAAGAGGGTAAACATACCGATTACTTGCATGGCTGGTTCAACGTCTGTTGTGGCCTCTTCCAACAGTGACAGCAGCTTGGCTGATATCTGATGCACGGATTCCATGTTGCTAAACAAACCATCCACGTCCAGCCTTTCAATCTGAAGAAACAGAAACACTAAGCACCAGCTGACAGAGACAGACGCACTGCATTTAGGATGCTTTCTCCCGCCGAACAGTAAACATTTTTATGCTCCCCCATGCTGCCTCCATCAACTATGTCTGTAGAAATTCTTATTTGGGATTTCTAGAGTAAATAGGCTCCACTGGGCTATAGGATATGGACCTGGCCTAACTGTTACCTCCGTCTTTTTCCTTAGTTTGAATAGATTTTAATGGTTTGAGAGCACATCTACCTATTCTTACAAAAACCAGAGGGGAAGACACTTCGTACAGCCTAATAAATACTTGTATTAACTGCCCTCTGTAATGAAACATTTCTACTCCGCCCTGTAAGAATCCACTTGGTGGTAGTGTGTGGGAGGGGTTCTTTATGGAACGGATGTGGAGGCCCCGGGTGGTGAAAACAGTTCAGTGCTAACAGCTGCTAACTGAAAAGTTGGTAACCACCCAGAGCTGCCGTAGAAGAAAGGTCTGGATTTCTGCTTCTGAAAGGTCAGTGTATTAATTAGTCTGGGTACTTTAGAGAAAAAATCCACAGAAACTCATGTATAAGAGAGAGTTTTATATAAAGGTTAAATGCGCATCAAGAAAACATCCCAACCCAGTGCTGCCCAAGCCCACAAGTCCAACATTAACCCATATGTCCGACACCAATCCACAAAGTCCTCCTCCATCTCACAAAACAGACGCAATGATGCCGACTGCAAGAGGAAAACTGAGTCAGTGGACGTGTAAGCATCTCAGCGCTGGCAGGGGTCTCCACACAGCTGCTGCAGCACCCAGGGCTGCATCGGGGTAGGTCCATGTGGCTTCTCCTCCGAGATGTTTTGCAGGAAGTGAGCCTTGCCAGCTGACGCAGGGAACTGCTAAGACAGCTGCACCCTGGTCCGACCATCAGAAAGCAAGAGACCAAAGGACTCGAAAGGCGAGGCTCATGGAGCCATTTATCCCTTTGCCCTTCAATTAACCCCACATGTGCTTATCAGCCAGGTTGGCACAATAAACTACCACAGTCAGTCAAGAAAAACTAGGGAACACAGGTGTACTCAGCAACACACAGGGTCATCGTGAGTCAGAATCGACTCCACAGCAACTGGGTTTTATGAAGACGTGTATTCACTCACTCACTGCCCTCAAGCCCACGCCAACTCATAGTGATCCCATAGGACAGGGTAGAACTGACCCATTGAGTTTCTGAGATTGTAACTCGATAGGAGTAGAAAGCCCCATCTTTCTCCCAAAGCCATGTACTCGTGGATATGAATTTAGAACACTCCACTGCTTGTATAGGAATCAACTTATGCAAGAGTTTCAAAGGTGAAACCAGGTCTGCCAAATCAGGGGCAAGAGACACAGAGAATCCAGTTAAGGGTCAGAAAAGTGGGTGGAGAAATAAAGGAAGTGAACAAGGATGTAGAGACAGGCTTAGAGAAATTCTGGTGATGAAACTGGCATGGCAGCTTCTTGCTGAGACTCTCAGCAGCATCTTCTCAGGAATTCCAGGTCTATTTCATGGGGCAAGAGGAGGCAATGGGCTCATATTTTTATCCCACCTCTTTTAACATCAGCCCATCTGTTACATTGGGCACCATTCTGATCAGGATATTCTATTATTGAATATGGAAATATGTCTTTCATTGTACCTTGTTTGAACTTGATAGCTATTTGTAATTTCTTGCCAACATAATCTTTCTGTACACACCTTTCTTTCAACAACTTTGTGAAGTCTCTCACCTTTCTATGATTAGTCATTTTCTTAAGATAACTCCCAGTTTGCTTTGTAGTTAAATCTCATGTGATTACATGCAGTAGGTTTGCCTCAATAGAAAATTATCATTTTCTTACTATTTTCATGTATTCTGGAATTATTACATCGTAATCACTACTAGTTCTAAGGGTCTTTAAATCAGTGTCTTACAAAATGCCCTCATTAAAGACTCAATTTAGTAGGAGAGGGTACATGTGGCTTTTTTGCCCGAAACCAATGGAGAGTCAAGACTTTCTATTCCTAGACTAGAATATACTTACTATTATGCAAAATATCTAAACAGCATATAAGCAGCTATTTGACTTGTTTTTTAATTATCTTTTAAATGTAGCAGAAGTCACATATCTCTTAGTATCACTAATTTAGCACACTACTTATCCTAAGGAATTGCTTTATGAGTTGGACTTAATTAAATTCACATTGTATAGTGCAATAGATATGTTTCCCCAATGTTGTGTAAGAATAAAACTTTTATAGATTTAAAATGCACAATTCATACAGTTCTTAATATCATTGTTTGAAATTAATCCTCCTAATATATGCAAGTCCACATCTAATTTACCTGCTTTATAGAGATAGAAAATCAGATTTAATTCATATCTGGTATGTTCTAATTAATGCTCATCTGCTATTAATAGAAACACATCGTATGAAGAAAATCTAATATTCTATCACTTGAGGACTAAGATTTTCTTAGTCCAATATCAACCCCTGATATTCTCATATACATGTGAAAGCTGGACAACCAATAAGGAAGAAAAGAAGAACTGATGCATTTGAATTACGCCATTGGTGAAAAATACTGACTATACCATGGGTTGCCAAAAGAATGAACTGATGTTTCACAGAAGAAATACAGCCAGAATGTTCCTTTGAACAAGTTATCAGGAGGGGCCAGTTCCTGGAAAAGGCATCTTGCTTGGTGAAGTAGAAGGCCAGTGAAAAAGATAAAGATAGATAGATGATAGGTAAATACATAGATAGATAGATAGATAGATAGATAGATAGATAGATAGATAGATAGATAGATAGAATGACTGCAACACTGGGCTCAAACACAGCAGTGATTGTAAGGATGGCTCAGGATTGGCCAGTGAGTTAGTTAATTGTGCCAACCTGGCTGATAATCACATGTGGGGCTAATTGAAAGGCGGAGGGATAAGTGGGTGGTGAGCCTCATCTTTCTAGTTCTCGGGTCTCTTGCTTTGTGATGGTCGCACCAGGGTGCAGCTGCCTTAGCAGTTCCCTGCTTCAGCTTGCAAGATTGACTTCCTACAAGACATCCCCAAGGAGAAGCCACATGGACCTATCCCGATGCAGCCCTGGGTGCTGGAACAGCCGTGTGGAGACCCCTGCTAGTGCTGAGATGCTTGTTTGTTCACTGACTCAGCTTTCCTCCTGCAGTTGGCATCATTGCCTCTGTTTTGTGAGGTGAAGTACTTTGTGGACTGGTGTTGGGTTAATGGGTTCATGTTGGACTTGTGGGCTTGGGCAGCATTGGGTTGGGATGTTTTCGTGATGCACACTTTCTTTACATAAAACTCTGTTATACATGAGTTGCTGTGGATTTGTTTCTCTAAAGTACCTAAGCTATTACAGCCAGTGTTTCATTTTGCTATCCATGAGCTAGTTACGGGATTGGAATCTACCGTTCTCAATGGCAGCTGACAGACATAGCAACATCACTATGACCTTTTTCACTTTATTGTGCACATTTTATTAGGAGCAAATTCCATTGCCTTATGTTTATTACTTTGTGTCTAATGTCAAATTCTCTCTAAAATATGAATTTTGATGTATGATTTGGAGAGGAGAATTAATGTGGAAGCTGTCATACTTAAAATTATCCATATATTTAAGGGCAGAACACAGTAGAAATGGACTGTTTTGAAATATGCCTACTTCATTCTAAAAAATAGCTGCTCTCAAGTAAATTTCAACGCATCTGACTAACAAGGACAGACTAGAACCACCTCTGAGGTTCTAAATCTTCACTGACGCACTGCCTCCTCTTGGTGCATCAGAGAAGCTGGTGGGGTAGCAGCCCACTACTTAACCCACTGCACTCCCAGGGATCCTTGTGTCAGTCCATAACCAGTTAACACTAAGAATAGAGTACCTTGCTGGATTTTTGTTTGTTTGTTTTTTCTTGATTTTTCCCCCTACTAAGTTGTCACTTTTTTTCTAGGGTCAATTTCGTGCATATCTGTCTAGTGCAGATTATAAATAGTTTTAGCAAGGATCTGATCCTGCATTCTATCTATAGTCTTGCCATGATGCATCGCATGTCAAATAACAAAACATAGGTTTGGATTGCATTTCTTCCTGAAGGACAGTAAGGATGAAAGCATCACTTGGACTGGTTCCAGTTGTTCCTATCACCACGGGTCCAGGGGAATTATGTGAATCACAAAATGAATTCATGTCCAGTCACTGCTATGGCAAGGGGAAAACAAAAGTCTTCTTTGAAAACTGGTAGATGATTTTATGATTACTGATAAACATTCCAGGAGGCATTAAACATTTTCTATAAATGGGGAACGCTCAATGAGCTTACTTGAATTGTGTTTTGAATGGATTAAAAATCAATTTTTTGAAAAAATATTTAGTCTCACTATTCATTATTCTAAGCAAAGTCCATATGTAACCATTTGTGTTAGTTTATTGTGCCAACCTGGCCAATAAACACATGTGGGATTAATTGAAGGGTGGAGGGATAAATGGCTTGGTGAGCCTCGCCTTTATAATTCTCTGGTCTCTTGCTTTGTGATGGTCGCACCAGGGTGCAGCTGCCTTAGCGTTCCCTGCTTCAGCTTGCAAGACTGACTTCCTGCAAGACACCCCCAAGGAGAAGCCACATGGACCTACCCTGATGCAGCCCTGGGTGTTGGAGCAGCCGTGTGGAGACCCCTGCTAGTGCTGAGATGCTTACACATTCACTGACTCAGCTTTCCTCCTGCAGTTGGCATCATTGCATCTGTTTTGTAAGATGGAGGAGGACTTTCTGGATTGGTGTTAGACATATGGGTTAATGGGTTCGTTTTGGACTTGTGGGCTTGGGCAGCACTGGGTTGGGATGTTTTCTTGATGCTCACTTAACCTTTATATAAAACTCTCTTATACATATGTTTTTGTGGATTTGTTTCTCCAAAGTACCCAGACTGATACACCTTTCAAACTTACAAATCAGAAAAAAAAATCAATCTTTCC